TTAACAGTTTCACTATTAATAAAAATAAATACTATGTTATAAAACAAATAATTAATAAATATTTAATTTAATTTTTATGAAGAAATTATTGAAACAAATTATGGATTTCCGCGCTTTTTCACAGAAACAATGAGTCTACCAGCTTAACTGATCCCAAGTTACCAATAATAAAGGTCTTTCATAAAACTTGATTGTAAATTAACAATTTCTATTAACAATCAAATTTTAAACAATCAAACAAATTGATAGTTAATTTAAATAACTTATTATAGATTACTTTTTATATTGAAATAAATTACACGTAGAATTTGCGAAAATTTATTTTAGAATACAAAATTATGTTAACAACGTAAATTATTATTGTTAATAGCTACTATTATAAAATAATGACCGAATTAGTTATCTTTTTGGATGAACTTCCGAAAATGACCCATGCCTCATTAATAACGCCCTAAAATTAGTATTCGTTAATTATTTGCAACTATGCAAGTACAGTCTACACTTTTATCGCTTAATCATTAGAGTACGAAAAGAGGACCTGCACTTTTTCCTCATTCAGGATATGAAATTAAATGAAAGAAGTATAATGTTTCAATACGTCCGTTTAATATTAAACGTATCTCGAGACTGTTGGATGAGGTTCATGAGAGACGCCGAAAATTACAAAAACACTGATATCCTGCATATAGGTACATATGCAATCGCTTTCTTTATAACGCTGTTCCGATTGTCATCCTGTATGTATACTATGCAGCTACCTCTCAAGTATCATTAGTATGCATGGGAAAACTTTTCGTACAGGAATGCACGGCAGCGCATATATATCGTTCGAGCTTTAACCCATTCGGTTATTGCCGAGCTACGCTAGAACATCTCGTCATCGGAAAGCCGATTATCGCTAATGTCCTTGCAAATTACAATCTTGCGTGTATTTCCTACCTGCTTACTTCAAGTTTTTCCATTAAAGTCATCCGATAGCATTGTCGGACGTAAAACGTGCAGGAGAAAATGTATTCTGAGAAGTACTTGTTACGTTACTTTCTCGTTCCAAAAGTTTTCATCAGTTGCACCTTATGTTTTCCCTGCTCCAAGATGAATGTGGGTCTAAGGTCAAACACGGCCGTAATTGAATCGTGAAACGTAAATAGTAAGGTGCTATTTCATTTATGCGTTTTTTTCGTACGACAAATGTGTACAGAACAAAGAGGTCCTCGGATCTCTCTATCCCATAGCCAATAAACAGGCTTGAAAAATTTGTCGTACGACTAAAACGCACAAATATTACCCGTAGTCGTAGGTCAACGCACAATATATTGGTTAATCTACAACTACGATTTACGTTCCACGACTCAGTTACGGCTATTTTTGTGATTTAGATCCTATCGCGAAAATGAAGAAGCTGATTTTTATTACAAGGTTCCGCAAATAAAATGATACGTAAAGTTAAAGTTAAGAACAGTTAAATAAGAGGAGCATTAAGGTTAAGAAATACTTTCGCCCTCAGAGAGAAGATGAATAGAAGTAATGGACTGCATTAAAGTTAATTTTACTGATATCCCTGGTGAAAATTTTTCTCAAAATGTTTCATATAATTTTTCAAAATTTCTATATAATTTTATAACTTTCTCACATTTTTTTTTAATGTCAATACGTGGTCAAAATTTAAAAACAAAAGAAATAAAAGGCATATACCACGAGCGCTTGATGTCGTACAGCGAAACTTCTTTCAAAGTCAATACATAAAATTACATTAAATTAATAAATAAAATAGACGTTTCGACCTTCTATTGGGCCATTATCAGTATATAAATATAAATTATAAATTACGCAGTAATGTATAGTATACAAATAAAAATTGAGTTCTTTCTTCGTTACATGTCTATGTCAATAAGCTCGCTCGATTTCTTATTTTACTTTCTTTTGGTGTGTATTTTCAATGTATCTATAATTTCATGTTCCACAATGTTAAGAAGTTTCGCTGTTCGACATCAAGCACTCGTGGTATATGCCTTTTATTTCTCTTGTTTTTTCTCACATTTTTTATACGAATTGGAGCACTTCTCAGAAAATCTACATCTTTTCTCAGAATTTTATATGTTACTTATGAAATATCGTAAGATTTCTAAAAATTTTTGTAAGTATAATTTCTGATGAAATGTTATAAAATCTAAAAAATTAAAAAATATTTTTTAAAAATTATGGGAAATTTCGGAATATTTCAGAATTCACTTGTATGAAAAATTCTGAGAGAAGATGTAAATTTTCCGAATATTTCTGAGTATTTCTGAAAAATGTTCCAATTCTTATAAAAATTATGAGAAAAATTTTCATCAGGGATTTCACTAAAAATTCTGGGATAATTTTATATATATTATATATATGCCACCGTAATAAATCACGTAATCATTTAAGTGTAATATATCATTTTAGATTTTCTTTCTTTGTCGTATTCTTTTTGTACAAAGAAAAAATTTTCTCTTGTAGAAGAAAAGTGCAACGATAAAATAGCTGAATATTACATTTATACGCTTCTTTTTTATTACAGAAACTTTATCAGACTTATCTTTATTAAAGATTCAAAACACAGTCGTGTAGTGTGTCAGGAATAAAAAATAGAAAACCATCCATTTTTGGCCGATAAAGACGTTTTATCGAGAGACCTCGCTGAGGTAGATCTTTACTTTAATCTATGAAAGTGACATGACAAAATGGAGTCCACTCTGATATATAACGCGACTTCACGGCTCATCCGGCGGAAAACTACGGAACAGCGAGAACCATTAAGCAGTTTTAAGTCGAGATAATATCTCGATAAAAGCGAAAAGGTCGAGGCACGAGAATAGCAAGCAAGAGAATTATTTGGTCTCGCGCAAAGCGCAATCTAGGGGAACGTCGCGCGACCCGATGCAACAAGTTGCGAATGCAACGAAGCGCATCGCACACCCTTCTCCCATCTCCACGATTATCGAGTGAAGCGCACAACAAACAACTGACGAAAGTCCTTGGAGACTTAACGGGAAGATTAATATGAAGCGAGATCGCTCTCGATAGATTTTCAAAGCAGATACCGTAATTATACCGTAGACATTGTAAACATTCCTTTTGCCGCGTTTCTTCATAAAGAAGTTCTTCGCAAAAAATTCCGGCTTTTCTTGGCGGTTTCCATTAGAAATTGAATGCTGCTATTTTTTGTCAGAAATCGAGTGTTGCTCACTCAATTGTACCATTAATGTCTTAAGAAAAAACAGCATTTATATATTTTATGAAAATTATTTCAATCTTTTGTAGTTATCAATTAGCTTACAATTAGTTAATAACGCTCAAGCGTTTAATAACGTTTGATTAATAATAACGATTAAATACTGAATAATAATAAATGTATTTAATTATCTTTACTGAATTTTTTAAAACTGATTACAATTTTTTGTAATCTTAAAAAACGATGATATTAATAAATAACGAAGGCAGGTAACTTAATTATATTAAAAAGGATAGTTTCAAGGAACTTTTATCACTCATTACATTCATTTTAACGTAACGGACGTGTTTCAACGAAATTAATTACGTACCAATAGCGTATGTAAAATCGAATAAAATTTAATTTCTACGTATAATGTGGAATTGTCGAAATTGACAGCTAAATAGTCTGTCGAACATAGCGCTTGTTGGCCTGGTTATTTTATAATGATCGGCAGGATGAATATACGCCTGTTGCACACGCTTATTGCAAATTAAAGCATACAAGCGGACATTGAATAATATCCAATTTAATTATAAAGCTTAACAATTTACTTTTAAAGGTCTTACGCAATAAAAAAATTTATTTGCATAACTCAAAAATGCAATATACTTTTATTTTTATAGACGATTTCCTTTAATCACCCTTCAATTATTAATTTAGTAAAATGGTTTAAAAAGTTTTTTTTTATGCAACGTTTGCATGAATTGCTTGTAATATTATTTATGTGAAAATTGTTGCTGTATCAATCTTTGCGCATATAGCTTTTTACTTTACAATATTGAACACTAGGGATACGCCGGATATCCGGAAAATATCCGGTATTATCCAGCACTTTTTTACTATCCGACCGGATAGCCGGATATCATTAGTATGCGGAAATATATCCGGTTGAAATTGTATATCTGATTTGTTATTATATAAATATTTTAGAAGTGAGTATGCATATTCATAATGCCATATTAACATCGTATATATTGTTGTAAAATTACAATTCTTTTTCTACAGCCCTTCTGTTTTTTTTTTAGAAGACAGATTCCCGAAATCCGGAAAATGTCGGATATCTGACTCGAAGAAATTGCTTTCTCGGATATCCGATGTTGCATTCTGTCCGGATATCCAATATCCGGTATCCGGTAATTGTACGATTCGGTGCATCTCTACTGAACACCGTTGTATATTGTTGCTTGCCAGAAAAGCAAAATTTTATCGCATAAAATGGAAAGATATTACAAATTCATTTATACGCCCACAAAATGTGATTTTAAATTGAATTTCTTGCGTTATAAAATCAATATTATTTTTGTGTGATAAGAAACTCTATTACCTAAAATACGATTATATTCAAAATTTCTAACTGTGACTTTTTTTTACTTTTTTCATATAACTCTTTGATGTAAGTAAGTGAGAGCATGAAATGCTAGCAACAGACATGCGAAGACGCAGATTCAGTAATATGTCAATAATCTGATATGTGCAACAATTGCTAAATTTTAATATCGTATAATCACATATTATAATCATAGAATATTATAAAAGTTAATTACTACATTATATTTTAAAAAATAAAAATTTTCTTCTTCAATAGTTATAAAATCAAATATCATACATAAACTTGTGCCTTTACAAGTTTCACGAATATAACATTAAATATTGATGTATTCATGGTTGATTAAAAAATATTTTACGGTGAAATACCACACGGGGAGTGGTAAAAAACTGAAATTACAATCGTGATACATGAACGAAGTATGTGCTTTACCTGAATGGGTCCGGCCACCGCATAAGCGACCACGCCAATAAAAACGATCACGATCAATGAACTGGAAAGTGCCATTATGTCGTTGAGTTTAGTCCACGATGTGTAGTACCAATGGATATCGAGGACTCGTTCTTCAGAAAGAAACTAATTAACCGCGGTTCTTTCAGACTCGTGATGCACACGTCGTGAAAAACGTGTGGAGTGCCCCGAGTTTCGTGCTTCCATGGAATATATAGAGGGCTGCGCTTTCCCCTGTTCAGGAAGGGGTGCAAACGTCGCGCAGACGCGGCATGTCACAGGTCTTCGTCGACGATTAGATACATTTGTCGTTTTATGACGCGAAATTCGATGCATATGTCGATAGCAATAAACCTAAGTATTCTCTGGAGACATCAAAAGTGAGATTAAAACTGTAACGGGTAAAATTCACATTGCTATAAGATGCATGCACAAAATCAATTTTACTATTGTTCGTGAAAACGAAAATGTGATAATTGAAAGACGATGAAATAAATTTTTCTTATCAATTACATGAGTAGTTTTTATCGGGTTGTGTAAAATAAATTAGACCATTATTTAAGCTTTAACAAATTTAATAAATCTTAAATTCATATTTTTCTATTCGTCTTTTCGTCTTTTAAAAATATAAAGATTGCATAACAATAATTCAGTAAAATAGCGGATTTACTATTTTGTTATCAATGTAATATTTGAGCGAACGAATATTCTTTATCATGCTGCTATCTCAATAATCTTAATGCTACGTTTTTACGGTCTAGACAGACTAAATGGACAATAAACGTTTAATCCATCAAATCAGACACATCTTCTGACCATTAGTAATTTTTGTTAAATAAAGTATAAGTATTTTTCGATAACGCATCAATCTCTGACGTTGTATCAAAATGGCTTTGCCATTTGAACTATTATAAAAGGAGATTAATATCGGAAGATAAGCGCAAGATATATACAGGTTAATATCACTCAAAGTAATATCACTTAAAAGTGAGATGATCAGGCGTCTTCGAAGCAGCTAGGATCTATTGGTCTTTACTCTTTACTTCAAGGACAAGATTTTTAATAACACTCCAGCGAAATTTTTTAATGTATTTTATTCAATTGTAGATCACGTTAAAATTAACTGGAGATTTAAAGAGATCATCACTCAAAGTGATCATCGTTGCTTTCCAACGGTACGTTAATTTTCGAATAGTATTTAATTATTTCACATAAACACGGAATATTATAAAATTTTAGTAAAAAGTTAATTGGATTCATCAAAAATTCTTTATTATAATAATAAAAATATTCTTAATACTTATTGTACGTGATTCTGCTTGAAATAATATAATGTATATAATATAACATCTTTTTTCTCTCTCTTCTTTTTTTATTAAAAGTCTTAGAATACCTATAAATTTTATATAAATTTTAAATCATGGATGAATCTCAAATACACAACTTCTATGATTTTGAATAAAAAAGTAAAATTCTCTACTGAAGTTTAAAAAAATAAAATCTGATTAATAGAGAAATTGACGAACAAATGTTTTATACTCAATCTTACATTTAAAGCTTAAAGTTGTCGAAATTCTTTAATAATAATCCTTTTTTATCTATAATTTCATTGGTAAATTAATAAAAAATGTATAACTGACATGTATTAAAATAATTCTGACATTCTCTACATATACATATAACGTTTGAATACTATTGTGTATTAAGAGAAAAAAATCTTACTAACTTCTTTTAAAGATGGTAACTTCGTCATATGTAACAATTTTAGGAAAGAGATTGCGATATTTTCTCGTGTTCTCGTCATTGCAGAATGGTTAACTTAATCGGACGATCCTGTGCATGCACATCAATGCAAAAGCCACGAACTGCGTGAAACGAGGGGAGGCAACTGCCCACGATCGATTCTGCTCTCGTATCTAGTGCAGAAAATAATTGTTGGCCATGAAAATCATGTGCCCTCTGTACATCGTTTATCATTTATATTTATCGCGCGGAAATGACAAAATGACAAACGAAAGGATACAAAACGGAATTGAAGTATGGAAATCAAAAGCGCTGATGCAAGAATAATGTACTAAAATGATAAGATAATATAGTAAAAGAAAAAGAAGGTATACGTGTTTTCTTTTTTGAAATATATAATTCAAATTTTTTGAATTATAAATTTCAAATTGTTTTACATTGTTTGTATAAAAAATTCTAAGATAAATTATATCGCTTTTAATAACTTGATGAATATACATATATCACCATAGACACATTAAAATATGATAATATATAGTTAAATATTGAATCCGATCATCTTTAATCATGTCAAATGTCGGGGATGACTCATGAAATATATATAAAATACGAGGTTGCGCGATGAATCTGATATTCACGAATATATGCGACGATATTTTCTAAAGAATGTTTCTTGCCTTCGACACGATGTAACCGTGACCAATTTAAATTAATCATTTCGTATAGCTTGAATTATTACGATATCTAATTCTCGTCTGGCGCGTGTGTTATTGTTAGTTAGCAGCAGCGACGGTGCTCTATTATAAATCCCTTCACAAGTCTTTTGTAATTCGATATAATCTTGCGCAACAAGAAGCGTTAATGGAGAGCATTGGAAAGCACTCCTGCTCGGTTATATAATCTGATGCAGGTCGTAATTCGGCTTGCACGACTCCAAAACGCATTGCGTAATTTCATCGTGCAGGAATCTCACGAACGTTAATGAGAAGAGCATCCGGGTATTTCCATTATCTGTATATATATATATATATATATACATATATTACCGCAGGATGTAGTAATGACATTTTCGCGTGTCGTTTGATAACGGTTAACTCATGCTAATGTCACCCACGAAAGAGCGAATAACGTTGTTCCGTCGTTAAAATTCATGACAAGCTCATTAAGAGTAGAATTCGCGATCCTTGTGCATCGGTATTGGTGCTAGCACACCTGTTCAATAACAATTGAGTACATAACGCCCGCGCCGTATATAAATTTTTCATAGATTTTCGTTGCGATTGTCTAATCTTCAAGCTCACTTTAGACAATCTGTAATTCGTGACCAAATTCGGAACATTTTATTTATAGAATTTTATTTATAATTTTGCATGTATACACTGAAAAAAAAGATTGGCTGCTGCAGTAAATTAGATGGTAAAATATGGCATAG